TACTAATACTAGGGTACCATTTCTTTAATTGTATAATTTTTTGTTATCAATTACATTTTATTTCCTATGACTTTTCAAACTTTACCTTTGTATATAGAATAGTTCCAAACTCTTTGTTTAGATAGTTTACAATGGTGCACTTTAACCGGTTATCTTTTCACCAATGGTTTCACAAATTTTCTTATGGCATGTATTGTTTTGATAAATCACAATTGAAAATTTAAATCTTCGAGTTAGCTTCGATACCAGTTTTCTCCGAGCGGAGCACGGTCACCCGCTGGTGTTTTTAATAGAAGGACTTGAAGCAATATGACATAGTAAGTAGCTTTGCTTTTTTCGAAAGGTAAATTTTAGAGCGAACTATTTTTGGTATTGTTTCCAGATGCACTGTTGGAATTTCGGATTGTGTTGCATTATTACATAACGTTCAAACTTAACACATTATTTTAAAATTTAGATTAACTATATTAAAATTATTCTTGATCTTGATTGCACCTTGATCAGAGATTAATTAGATGGTGCAATATACGCCCTATCATATTATTGCCTGCATGGAAATGGTGGTAATTTCCCAAAAATGCTCTCCTAAACAATTTTAAAGTATGGATGATCAATAGATTTTATTTTACAACAGTTTGTGAACAGCAGACCCAATTTTTGAGTTTACGACTACCAATGTTGAACTCCGTAGCCTTTGTAATTTTGAACCCAATCCTGAAGACAAGGGACCGCCTGGATCAAGTATTGGGAGAAATTTGTCTTCGTGGAGAACTTTATGATGGATCTAATCCGCATTTGCGTTGGAGAGGAAAACCACGAATACCCCCCACGATTAGCCTGACAGCAAGGGGATTAGAAGCCATGATTCAACTACCACTGAAGATATTTTACTTCAGCACTGTGGTCGATGCGAGCCGGGTGCAGAATTCGTATCGACCAGTCATTGCTTGCTTTCGAACCCGGGTTACTTCATTAGGAGGAGAGCGTTCTATCCCCTGAGCCACCACTTCTAAATGATCAATATATTGCACCTAGCGTTAACCTTGGCCTTTATAAAACCAATAATTTTGTTCATTCGCCGTTGTTTTGTGTGATTATTATTCGTTATATATATTTTGTCTTGCAGCGTTTAAATTGTTACGTTTTAAGAAACTTTAACATTTAAATTCTCGCTCAGAAAGTGCGATTTCCTGTAAGACTTTCAAATGCCAGAATTTAAAGACTTTATAGTACAAGCTTATGAATTACTTATTAGACTAATCGTAAACTTAACAAAGTATGCGTCAATTCTTTTTATTTAGCTTTTAAAAGGGTTCAGTTTTAGGTGTGGAAAATATTGAATCATAACTTTTCTCTTTATATAAGTAATAACTTTCATTGCCTCTCTACACTTTAAGAAAATAATGAAATAAAATCGAAATTTGAAAAACACATTTCCCAGCATGTTCCTAGAAGATTGAAAAGGAGAAAATATTTTTATTTTTGTCAGATCCAAAACAAAAAAATATGAGACGCGTCCTACTTATTTTTGTGTATGTGAATTGAAGTTAACTAAAAAGTAATGCGTTTAAGTTTGCTGTTAAATGTCTGAAAAAATTAAATAATGTGATTATTTCTTTTTTGATCAACTTATAAAAACTTAAATTTTTTTTTCTTCTTCTTCTTGAGTTTCGTACTTTCTTCTTAGTTTTGTGTTTGTTAGTTTCTTCATGTCGAAAAACGGTTAAATTTTCGATTAGCAACAGATTTCATTTGTCGATTATATGACAATAAATTTTGTTTTCAGCTGTCATAAAACAATTAAAGCTTGTATGGCCATCTATCCACTCCAGTTCAAATTTAGATCTAGCTAATTCGGAAAATCAAAGAAATTTGGATGGACGATAAATTTTATTTGTAGAAGTCAAGAAATAACTGAAGTCCTTGAACCAAGAAATCCTGGAGTCCAAGAATCCTGGAGTCCTGGAGTCCAAGAAATAACTGAAGAAATAACTACAGTCCTTGCGAGCCATTTTTACTAACTAGATGATCTCTGGATCAGAAAAATAAAGTGGGATAGCGCTACAATTAGTTTAACAGGAAAATTAACTAACAAATGATACATTATCAAAATATTTCGTACTCCTAGAGATTATGGATTGTTCGCTATTGTCTTCGCCGCCTTAAGTGTGAAAAGGGCTTCAAAAGGCGCCGTATTTCTGATATCGTTTTTGATATCAGTGAAAATATTCTTTTCCTGAGTATAATGGCGGCCTCTTCTGTTTGAGGAGTTGACAATTGATGTCGGTGTATGCAGGACGTGTTTCTGCGATAAGGGAATAAGTCTTTCACCTTATTAACGAGAATCTGAAGCAGTGGTAACAAAAAGTAGGAAGCTTTTCAACACGATTTTGACTTGTGTCAAGACTTGACAAAATAAATATTGATTTTGTGGAACTTTTGTCAACGGGAGTTGCGATTTCTCATTCTCGATGCTCAATCGTTATTTTAAATGTTTAAAAATAATTAATATTAAAAAGCTGTCTTTATATTCTACTCTTAAACTCTACTTTCAATCCCACCTTGTAAGATTAAAATATGTGGAGAATTCTGAGAGTTTCAACTTGAAGTATTTGTAATTTTTTAAAATAGTTGATAAAATTTTACATTGTTTAGCCATTTTTTATACTTCCATAGATAGGAGGAAAAATACCATGACATCAATATTCTTTTACTTTTTTACTATTTTATAACTGTAACAGGTGTATGTACGGGATGTTTCGTAATTATCACTCTTAATATATATTTTTAGAATTTTTGTCAAAAAAGGCTAAGAATGTTATATGCATTATGTCACATATTAACAGTTAAGGGTGGAAAAAATAGCGATATCAGTTGAATCTACTAGAAAAATAAGCGAAATAAGGAAAAAGATAGAAAAGTTGAATACTTGCTGAAATTTGGAATTGTTACTAATTATCGCCTTTTAATTTCTTTCTGTTTCCTTTGACAATCAAACAGGTTTTGTTTTTTCCGGTCCGGTTTACTTATCATTGTGTCGCTTGATTTCGATGGCTTATTTGTATTTTCCTTGGTTAAAGAGTAATTTGTGACTCCCAATGCATTTTTTTTTTGTTTTGTTTTATTTTCGACAAGTATTCTAAAAGTATGTATTAAGTGAGTTGATTATGGAAGATTCTGTATATGTATTATTTCAGGCATACACAAGGTCTCAAAAGCTAGTTCACCATTCTCGACTTTTTTATTTGAATCCTCAAGTTGAATCTTTCCGGAAAAAAAACAAAACAAGGAATGCCTTGCTGCTAGAGGAAATAATTAAACTTTATTAACCGCGTATGCCAGATTGCATATTTAAGTTGAAAAAGGGTCAGAGCAAGCAGTATTTAAAGTGGTTTGGATTTTCCCATTCTTTATTTAAAATATATATTCTCTCTTCTATGAGCTATTTTCTTCCAAGACGCATTTTTCACTTTCATTATTTTTGTAATAAATAGGAAACAACTCTTTTGAATCATCTAGAATGTAATATTTCAGTTGAAGGTTTTAAAAACGAAACCTATCTATTAAGATATCACATCTTATCGCACTCGGAAAAAGGCTCGGTGAGGTTATAATTAGGGAATTTTACTATAATGAGTTTCTCGATCACATTATTCGATGTCCATAACACTAACACATAACATTCTTTATGCAAGTTTTTTTTTTCAGTATTCTTAATGCGAATAAAAGTTTGCTTGACTAATTTAATTGGAATTAGAAAATTATTGAAAGTAGTAAGAAAGTACTAAAAACTAACGAGCATTTCATAAAAAATAAATACGTTAATAGTTCGAAAGAAGCGTTGTTATAATTTTG